AACCACCAAAGAGAGACTGGGAGATCTATGAGTTGCAAAGGGAACGTGTCCGGAGGGGCTTACTCTCCCATCGTGCCATCGTCGTCGGCGTCGCTGCAACCGGACGAGTGGAGCTCCGGGGAGGAGAGGTCATCGTCCAGCATGTCGTGGGGAAGGTCCGTGAGTAACTGCTGCAGCTGAGACAGGAGAGTCTGAATCAGTATCACGCCACCTTCAACGCAAGGTCCCAAAGCTGCCTTGGAACCTGTGATTTTTTTTAAAAGTCGTTGCAATGTCAGATAAGCGCTGCACTGCTAACCACAAGATCAGCAGTTCAAGCCCACCAGGTGCTCCACGGAAGAAAGGCTCCCCTAAAACTTTAGTCTCAGAAATCCCCTAGAGGACCACCAGGAGTCAGCATTGACATGATGGCTGTGGGCTTGGTTTGGCTACCTGTCAAAGGCCAGGTTCTTAAGGTCACCATTTCATACGTCAGTTCAATTCCAAACGAAGCGTGTTCAGCAATTTACTTAAGGGGACAGGGAAGGACAGATAACATCAGGACGGACAGGAAAAGATTTTACTTTTTCCTGCAAACATGTGAGATTTAAATAGGCATACGAGGAGGCTTCGAAGAGTGTGTCCAAAAAAATGGAACTTTAAAATAATGGAAGTTTCCACCAATTTTTTTAAAGCCCCCTCGTAGGCCTGTTACTGACAAGACAATTCGGACGCAGAGCAATGCTACCAGACAGAAAGGACTGCCCTGTGGGGTTTGCAAAGCTGTATTCTTGATGGAAGCCAGCTGCCACCGCCTTCTCCCATGGGCTGACTGGTGTACTCAAACTGCCAGCCTTTCAGTCAGCAGCTGAGCACTGTGCTACAAATACTCCTTGTAGTATGCATATGACACAACATAACTGAAAAAACTTACTTATAAAACTATAGTAAGTCATAATGATGGCCGTTGTATTACATTATCGCAGGACAGGCGTTCAGTCTCAGAATTCAGTTTTCCCCTCGTAATCAGACCTTAGGCACCTGATAATCAGAGAACCCCCAGGGAACCCCAGTCACCAGATGCCCGCTGCCCTGGTAGTGAGAACAGCAGCCGTGGCAACAGGTGGCCGACACACACCTTAAAAGCTCTGATAATGCGATCTCTCCTTGGGGAGCAAGTAATTAAGGGACAGGCATCTAATTCCGGTGATGAAAGGATATACAACACTCTGTTCTCGTGAAGCATCCGAGTCAAAGGAGAGTCGGAAGACTTCTTTTCTGCGGGGAGCACTGGCAAAAGTGGGACTGTGAAACTGACAGGAGGGCATTTGATTGTGCACTCCACTTTGTCCCTGCAGAAATAGCTTGATGGCATTGTGGACAGGCTGCCTAAAGACGCTAGAGGGTGTGCATGCCAGGGAAATGCGTGAATCACTGTCTGCTTTTTAAATCTCACTCTCTATGTGCAAAGGTCTCTCCTCTTCAGATCCCAATACAAAGTATCGGAAAACTTGGAAGCGAACCAGAGAACTAAAATATTGTTACTAAAGAGCCTGTAGTTTCCTCATAACAATCTCCCTTAAGAAATTAAGCACCAGTATAATATGCAAGTTGACTGGGTCCCTCCAAAGTATACAAATCAAAGTATATAAATTGCTTATTTTATGGAAATAAGCAATGAGTGTACTTCACAGAAGACACTCACTACACTGAAAGAACCTTGGAGGAAAAGAGGGAGGTGCTCTAGGGCAGGTTTCTGTTTTGTTTAGATTTTCTTTGTTGTTGGTAGGAAGAAATGCAGTGTAGCTAAAAACCTATAGCAATAAAATGATTTTAAAAAACCTATCTTCGTATTATTTTCATAATCATGATAGCTTTCCAAAGAACATATATAATAAAAGTTAAATCTAAGTATTGGAAGACAGTGGTGATCATTGTACATCAGGTTGAATACAGTCAACGTCACTGGAGTGTACACATAAAATGGCAAATTTTTTGTTATGTAAATTCCACAACAAAATTTTAAAATACACATACATTCCAAGGCAGGTCTGAAAAGAATGCCCTAGGTGATTTTTTTTTCCTAAAAGAATTTCTCAATCCATGTGGTTCTCTACAAATGAAAGACAAGTAAAAGAAAGTCTTTATCATTAAATTAACTTGACCTCTAAATCCAGTTAATAGTAGCATTCCAGGCGGTGATTCACTGTCCACCTAGTGGGGCAGATGAGTTGAAAAGTCTCTTGGAGAATAAGCCCTGCCGTGGATTGAAGAGATGCAGAACAAGAAATACAAAAGAAAGAACAATAAAGCAAACCGGAACACATCCGCATATCACATACCGAGTGCCTCCCAGAAAGCTGGCAGGGACTCTACAAAGGCACAAAATTCTCTAGGAAATAAAATGTACATCGAAGAGGTCCTCTAAAAGTAGTCCAACCAGTTTGGTTTGTAATTACACACCACTGCTCGAAAGAAGAAAACTACCCCCTCGTGTGACACAAAGAAAAATAAAAACAATCTTTCATTCTTACCTCAAGTAAGGATGGCTGCATAGAAACAACAATTTCTTCTAAACCTTCAATAAGGTTCAAGAACCAAAACCGAAAACCAAGCCCAGTGCCATCAACTTGATTCTGACTCATCCCTACCCTGTAGGACAGAGCAGAACTGCCCCCGCGGGTTTCCAAGGGCATAAACCTTTCAGACTGCCTCGTCTTTCTCCCCTGGCGTGCCTTGGGATTCGAACCACTGAACCTTTCGATTACCACCAAGTGCTTAACCACTGCACACTGCATCAGCAGAGCCTTAAATTCTAGAGAACCTTGATAGACACATCAGAACGGTATATATATTTTCCCTCATTACCTGGGCAGAAAGCCGCACAAGGGCTCAACGGTTCTTGGAGCTTTCTTCGTGGCTCTCCAACATTAACAAAATTGGCATTCCATGAAGGAAAATTAAGTTAAGCATAAGTGATCAGTTAATAAAAGTGCTTGTGGATCTGTGTGTAAACTACGAGCTAGCAAAATCCTACTTGTAACAGAGTTTTACAAAATAGCTTACATCGATGCTAACATTATTAAAGTTTCATTCACCTCAAAAGAAAAAAAAAATTCCCCGTCAAGTTCTTTGGCACAGCTGGGTTATATTCCTTGGCTTCAGTGACTTGCAGGGCAGAAAGAAGCTAAGTGAGGTGAAGTCCTGCTAATGAGGCCATTCAGGAATGAAGTCCCACCCCCAGGGCTTGCATTTCCCAGGAGGGGAGTGCGCCCTCTGTGCACACCGGCAGAGTTACTGTGTGCCATAACACACAAAAACTACAACTCCTCCTTATTAAAGATCCAGCCCTCTTCTAAATGCAGAGTCAAGGTCAAAGATAGCCTTATAATCTTTATAAAGATCAAGATTGAATCCCACTCATTAATTATAAATCCATCGGGCTGCTTTTTTGCCTACCAAACCAAACTCCCTGTCCGTATGTCAATGCTGACTCCTGCCTAGAGGATAACACAGCTCTGCGCCTGTGGCTGTCCAAGACTGCGCCTCTTGACGGAGGGAAGAAGCCTCCCTTCTCCCTCCGTTGTCTACCTGTGGAGTTAAATTACCTGAGATGCTTTCCCTGGATAGTGCCTGTTATGGCTTCTATTAACATGCATTCGACATACTCAACCCCTTTTTTCTACTTTATACCATTTTTTTCCCTCAAAAGGTAGGGGGAGGCATTTTTCTCAAAGAGCTTTTCGATAAAATGTTTTTGGAATAACCTGTGCAGAACATACCAAAAGGGTCTGTTCGGGGGAGAATGTATAACCGAGAACACTTAGACCTTCTGTTAGGATTTCAACGGAAATTAACTAAACAGCTTGTCTTCAGGTCCTCTAATCCCCCATGTTTGTGAAAGCAAGCGTTCTCAGGTTACAGACCGGAGACAATGCAGCGTATGCAGTAGCCAACAGTCACCCACATTTGAACGGGTTGTCTCAGAAGGATCCTGGAAAGACCACTAATTGAAAATATGGAGTAGTAAATAAGACCGTCAGGGCACATATCAAGCAGAATCTTGGTTTTAGCTTTAAAACGCTAAAAAAATACTTGAAAGGGCCTGATATGGGATTGATGAAGGGCCAAAATAATGTAGTAGATAGAACCTTCAGTTCGTGAATTACATTATGTCCCGAATGATAAATAAAATCCAATTCATTACACTGTGTTATCTTTGTGGGAGAAGATCTTGCCTAGGCGGCCGTACATCTACTGAAAATTAAAATATGGTCACAGTTTATTAGACAGTTTATCAGCTGAGCTAAAACAACAACAAAAAAACAAACTCAATGCCATTGAGTCAACTGCCCCTCTGGATTTCCGAGTTTGTAACTCTTTATAGGCATAGAAAGCCTCATCTTTCTCTCTGAGCAACTGGTGGTTTTGAACTGCTGACCTTGAGGTTAGCAGCCCAACACATAACCACTATTCCACTGAGGCTCCCAGCTGCACTATGGATGATACCAAATAGAATTTTCAGTCTGGGGGTACACTGAGACTCCTTTAAGCCACACCTTTTCTCTCAAAGGTGAGCACATCATGGGACAGAGAAGGATATGCCCATGAAGCATGAGGTGTGATAGCTCTAGAGCCTACTCCCATGCGCTTTTCTCCTAAGTGATGCCATCAGTCACTGGAAGAAATGTTTTCTACCTGTCTGCATACAGTCAAGCTGCAGTGATCCAAATGTGACAGTCCTTGGAAAATAACTTTATCATCAGAAAACCTCACAAGGGACAATCCCGGGGCTGCCTAAGAAGTTTTTCAAGAACAACATAAATAAATATCAGGAATACTCGGCCATTTGTTTCCTTGATTTTCTGGAGAGAGGACAAGAAAATTCCATGAGGTCAGTCAAATCAACATCGAAGGTAAACAAACGCTAGCTTTCCAACTCCATCTAGTGGTTTTGTCAAGATCCCGGTCTGCTCATGGTGGCCTGTGCTCTTGGAAGTCCTCTCACTGAGGCCAGTGCCATCTCCTCTCCTTCTCTGAAGATGGAGCTTACTCTCTGCCTCTGCTGGGCCATGCCCTTCATGGAGGGGCTAGAAATGGAAGAGGCCTGATCCTAACTGTAGAGCTGCAAATCAGAAAGGCAAAGAGATGCAAATTTGACCGT